GGTATATAGTTATTCCGCATAACTCCTCCTACAGTTTGAATCCTAGGAAGTTTTCTCTTTACTGTCTGTTTGTACATATATTGAAGGTGTGCATGTGGTCAGGGTTTAATGTTTATTTATATTTGCTCTTTTGGGAGATAGTTGAACTTTGTAAATTTTTGGGAAATTTACTTGCATAAGAAGAGCATTTCCAGATAACTCCTCCTACAGTTTTAATGCTAGGAAGTTTTCACTCTGCTGGCTGTTTGTACATATATTGAAGGTATGCACGTGGTCAGGGTTTTTATTTTTATTATCTTTTGCTCTTTTGGGAGATAATTGAACTTTTTTTTGTCATTTTTGGGGTAGAAGCGGTTAAATGAGTTGAGTGCGGGGGCATCACTTTGTCAAGTTTACATTTTTGCCTCGTGTTGTGCTGTTACACAACTGTAACAGTCCGATGTAAGGTTAGGATTTAGCGCTCACATACATGTTAAACTCCGCCACGTGCACTTTCTTTATGTACCTGCCCCAAGTCAGGAGCATGAAGTTCAATTGTTGTCGTTGTATAAATGTGTGTCATTTTTTGTTGTTGTAAATTGTTTATTTATAAATAAGACCATTTGTTTTTTCGTTTGAATTTTTTCACATGGTGCATGGTGGCCTTTTGTAGCTGACTATACGGAGTGTTGAAGGCTGTACGGTTGCCTATATATGATTTCTTACATCCACTGCATTGAAACTCTGTTGGATAGTTGTCCCATTGTCAATCACACCACATCTAGCTTTATTTCAACTTCATGTTGCGTTTTGTATACTGTAACATTGTTTATCTTTTGTACGCATACCCCGGAGCCCTCTTTTCGGAAGCCCGAGCAAAAGTCCTTGTTCCGCGATAGAAAATTTAATTACGAACTCATATAAGATAGCTCGAATTTCAACTCATAATCATAATTAATCTAAATGAGACTTAAATTCGAATCTTACTCAAACTCTACCTCAAAAAGTGACTCAAATTTAATGTTGTAACTAAAACTCTACCTTTAAATGTGACTCAAACTCGAAGTCCAACTCGAAACTCAATGCTAACTAAAACTTTAATTCTAATACGACTTGAATTCGAAATCGAAGACTAACTCAAAGTTTAACTCAAACAGTAACCCGAACTATAATTCGATGGATGGCCACACTCATCCAAGGCACATACAACATGGAAATCTATCTAAAAATAGAACAGGTTTTTCCGAATTGGTCACGTGATTTTACCTCATCAAGTAATGGGATAACCACATCAAAGAATGACAGGACCACATCAAATAATGAAACAAACACATCATGTAGTGTAAAATTGTCAAATTTTGAAACATCATTACGTAATGTTAAAATCATATAAAGAATAGGCAAATCATCATTACAAAATAACAAAACCACATCATGTAATGAAACAACTACATAACGTTAAGTCACATTCACATCAAGTAATGTTAAAACCACATTGATTAATGACACAACCACATTAAATAATGGTGAAACCACATCGAGTTATGACAAAACCATATTGAGTAATGACAAAACTATATCAAGTCAATACGAAACCATATCGTGTAATATCGAAATATCATTAAGTAATGACTATTCCATATTGAGTTATATCAAAACATCATCAAGTAATAATAAAACAACATAAAGTAATATCAGAGTTCCACATAAGACAGCTGTGGCGTTCCATAGGACGGGGTTGTACACTTATTCATGGTCATCTGTGACAATGGCATTCCATAACGTCAACCAAATCATGATTGCATCAGTCAAAATTTCGAAGAGATGACCACGACCTCATCATTTAAAAATTCTTGTTTAAATAGTTTCTTTGTAAATAGCTACCATCTATCAGGAAGTTATCATTTGAAACGCAAGCTCTGGGATACGTTATACACTAGGATAGACACGAACGCTGATTTTTGCAGGTGAGGATAAGGCGGTAGCGCAATGCTAGGCGGTGTTGCCATAGAAGTTAGAGGGAAAAGTATAGGTTCCATCCCCTGTTGTTGAGGAAGTAAAGAATGATATTTACTCTAACATTCTTGTGGTGATTTCTAGGCACTATATATATATATGTACAAAAACCTTTGCACCTTTTGTTTGCGGTATACCATCTTTTCCGCAAGTTTATTGTTTTCTGTTTAGTATTAAATTTATAATTAAGATCCATTTATTACATCGGTGATCCGTTTATTTGGCAATCGCCAATGGCAGTCAGCAGGGTTTAAGAACATCAGTTGTTCGACCTGCTAGTCAAATGCGTTTTGTTAAAATATACTTTTTCACTCATTTGGACTTTTGGAAAATGTTGTTTGTGCTGTATTTAGACCCCTCTACCAAGAAATTTGTTTTGCATGCACACGTATAAAAATTGCGGTTTTTATCCAACGCAATCATAGGTTTGAACGTTGTTTTCAATTTAGACTTGTTTATATTTTTTCGTTTGGGCTTGTATTATATTTGCCTTCGGGTTTATATGATCCGTTCATCCTATTTTGACTCTTTCAAAATTTAAGAGTCTATCCTAAATTGAGGTACATTATATGGCCTTCCAAATACCGTTTCGATTCCTAACATCACTGAAGAGACATTAATTGTCGAAATCCGGATATGGTGTACAAAAACCTTTGCACCTTTTGTTTGCGGTATACCATCTTTTCCGCAAGTTTATTGTTTTCTGTTTAGTATTAAATTTATAATTAAGATCCATTTATTACATCGGTGATCCGTTTATTTGGCAATCGCCAATGGCAGTCAGCAGGGTTTAAGAACATCAGTTGTTCGACCTGCTAGTCAAATGCGTTTTGTTAAAATATACTTTTTCACTCATTTGGACTTTTGGAAAATGTTGTTTGTGCTGTATTTAGACCCCTCTACCAAGAAATTTGTTTTGCATGCACACGTATAAAAATTGCGGTTTTTATCCAACGCAATCATAGGTTTGAACGTTGTTTTCAATTTAGACTTGTTTATATTTTTTCGTTTGGGCTTGTATTATATTTGCCTTCGGGTTTATATGATCCGTTCATCCTATTTTGACTCTTTCAAAATTTAAGAGTCTATCCTAAATTGAGGTACATTATATGGCCTTCCAAATACCGTTTCGATTCCTAACATCACTGAAGAGACATTAATTGTCGAAATCCGGATATGGTGTACAAAAACCTTTGCACCTTTTGTTTGCGGTATACCATCTTTTCCGCAAGTTTATTGTTTTCTGTTTAGTATTAAATTTATAATTAAGATCCATTTATTACATCGGTGATCCGTTTATTTGGCAATCGCCAATGGCAGTCAGCAGGGTTTAAGAACATCAGTTGTTCGACCTGCTAGTCAAATGCGTTTTGTTAAAATATACTTTTTCACTCATTTGGACTTTTGGAAAATGTTGTTTGTGCTGTATTTAGACCCCTCTACCAAGAAATTTGTTTTGCATGCACACGTATAAAAATTGCGGTTTTTATCCAACGCAATCATAGGTTTGAACGTTGTTTTCAATTTAGACTTGTTTATATTTTTTCGTTTGGGCTTGTATTATATTTGCCTTCGGGTTTGTATGATCCGTTCATCCTATTTTGACTCTTTCAAAATTTAAGAGTCTATCCTAAATTGAGGTACATTATATGGCCTTCCAAATACCGTTTCGATTCCTAACATCACTGAAGAGACATTAATTGTCGAAATCCGGATATGGTGTACAAAAACCTTTGCACCTTTTGTTTGCGGTATACCATCTTTTCCGCAAGTTTATTGTTTTCTGTTTAGTATTAAATTTATAATTAAGATCCATTTATTACATCGGTGATCCGTTTATTTGGCAATCGCCAATGGCAGTCAGCAGGGTTTAAGAACATCAGTTGTTCGACCTGCTAGTCAAATGCGTTTTGTTAAAATATACTTTTTCACTCATTTGGACTTTTGGAAAATGTTGTTTGTGCTGTATTTAGACCCCTCTACCAAGAAATTTGTTTTGCATGCACACGTATAAAAATTGCGGTTTTTATCCAACGCAATCATAGGTTTGAACGTTGTTTTCAATTTAGACTTGTTTATATTTTTTCGTTCGGGCTTGTATTATATTTGCCTTCGGGTTTATATGATCCGTTCATCCTATTTTGACTCTTTCAAAATTTAAGAGTCTATCCTAAATTGAGGTACATTATATGGCCTTCCAAATACCGTTTCGATTCCTAACATCACTGAAGAGACATTAATTGTCGAAATCCGGATATGGTGTACAAAAACCTTTGCACCTTTTGTTTGCGGTATACCATCTTTTCCGCAAGTTTATTGTTTTCTGTTTAGTATTAAATTTATAATTAAGATCCATTTATTACATCGGTGATCCGTTTATTTGGCAATCGCCAATGGCAGTCAGCAGGGTTTAAGAACATCAGTTGTTCGACCTGCTAGTCAAATGCGTTTTGTTAAAATATACCTTTTCACTCATTTGGACTTTTGGAAAATGTTGTTTGTGCTGTATTTAGACCCCTCTACCAAGAAATTTGTTTTGTATGCACACGTATAAAAATTGCGGTTTTTATCCAACGCAATCATAGGTTTGAACGTTGTTTTAAATTTAGACTTGTTTATATATATATATATATATATATATATATATATATATATACACACACACTCCATATACAGGTCGGACTACTGTTGTACAGAGAAGGAAAGTTCACAATAGAAACATTAAATTAATTTCTTTTGCCGTAATGTTGTTTTTTTTTTTAGTTCTCACGCGACCCTCATTGCCTATTTCCATGTGTAAGTAAAGACTATGAAGCAGACTAAACTGTGACTGTTGTATCCTTGCTAAATATGTTAGACTTACATTTATTACGAATGTACTGTAAGAACTTATTACAACATTTGTCACATTCTGTCAATAAAAATTGTTGTTGATGAGGATAAATATTTAAAAAATTCATGATTGTCATTTCTTATTCAACATATTTTTATAATTTTATTTTCAGATGACTTCGGTGTTACGAAGACAATCATCGACGTCAAATGAAAACGATGTAAGAATGCGAAATAACCGGAGTAGTGGCCATGGTGCAGTCAACGATTCACCTCCATCTTCCCCAGCACAGGCCGGTGACCGTGGGACCAGAGCTTGCTGCTTTTGTTGGTGCTGTTGTTGTACTTGTTCATGGTGAATGCATGTCTCTTCTTAGTCACCATTTGTTTAATTCACGTTGCTGGGACCATCAGTTTTTATGTTTTAATTATCTTACCCAGACAGGTATCGTTTCCTGTGTTTAAAGTATTTCCTACTTTTTAGAACACATCTGGCATGACATGCATATTTTGTTTGTTACAGCCTTTTAATAAAATTATGGACTACTAAATTAAACTTTTTTTATGCGAAATCAAATTGATGGTCCTAACTCGTGTTCCATTGTTTTAACGATTTTTCCTTTTGGTGGCTCGATGTTGTAATTTGTTTAAACTATCATCCCGTCCAGTTTAAATCAAATATCTGACAACACAAATTAAATTTTGAAATGCATTTTTTGAATTTGCACATGGTGACTATCTTTTTTTTGAGCAAAAAAAAAAAAAAACAACAGATAAGTAATTAGTAAGCTGTACATAATAATCCTATGAAAGTTATAAAGTTTTGAAGTAACAATTATAATTTTTTAAATTCAACAAATAGAAATTTTAAATATCAGGGTGTGAACTTTTTGCACAACTTTAGAACAAATAGCAAGAAAAGAAACGAAAGTATGCGAAATTGAACATGTAATATTTTTTATTAAAAGAAATTATGGTACCTCATCCTTCTTTTAAGTCACAGATATCATTGATATCATTAATTTCACAACTAAGAATGATCATATCACAAGTGTTTATCTGATATATTTGCCACTGATCGTTATGGTAAGATTGTTTGTGTATTAAGCCCATTCAAGACAAAAAGACTATATAGAAGTGGTGAAAATTATATAAAAAAGGTTAAAACGGATGAGGTATGGGACCCGAAAAAAATGAATAATTATAACAGCTTCCTGAAAATATATATAGAGTTAAGTAGAAACAAAATGTTTGGACTTTTGTAGCATCCACATTCGCCTATATTCTCATTTGAAATTTACAAGAGGGATCTTCAACGTACGCATCCCACACACGTTTCCTATTATGGTCCACAGTCATGCTTTAAGTATTAAATTTTTACTCACCTCAGGGGTTGCTCATTGGTTAGAGCTTCTGCTCGCCCCCAGATTTAACAAATAATTGAAAGATACGTTATATCGACATGTTTGACCAGATATGGTCTATACAAATATTTGCCAGCTTTCTAATATATCGAGACAGGAGATAAGATAATGAATAGTAACAAAAAAGCGATGCTGAACACTGAGGAAATTCATGACTTCTGACAGACATAAAGTACTTTACCTGCAGATATAGAAGTGATGCCTTCTAATAATTTAATATAGGCCGCTTGGAATATTTAAACACACTATTGTTTCAAATAAAATACCGCTATAAAAGAAAATATGCATGCGAAATACGGCTTTTATTGGCCGTGGACGATGTCCAAAACCGGCTTATATTATAGTGATGTTGGGCAAGCGGATGGGCGGGCGGGCGTGGAAAAGTGGTTACCTTATTTGTGTACAGTTTGTAAGCCAGATCCCTGAAACTTCACAGGAAGATTGCACATATATTGAAGTTGTTCACCTGCTAGTACGGAATTGTTTTAGGAATATGTTCTTCTTTTTTTTCCAGACTTGGTAACTTAATCATTTTTCAGTAAAAATTATGAAAGAGGTTCAATTTGTATGCAATGAACTCATCCTGTTTTTGACCCAGATTCCTGAAACTTCACCGGAAGAATGCACATATGCATGTTGAAGGTGTGCCCAGGCTATAATGGAATTGTTTGTAGAGATTTTTTTCTCATTTTTCCAGACTTAAGAAAGTCATTTTTCAAATATTTAAATGTTCATTATAGAGCATTCTCCATTGCTTAAGAAAGATTCTGTGCAACCCGGCCATTTGAGTCTTTGATCTATTTTCAAATTCGTAAGAAGAACAATGCTTGAATAAGAGATCCCTATAGCTTTGGTAAAATTTAGTTAGAGTTGTCAAATTTGTCAAAAATCTAATATTGTTGATCGAATCCTTATAGGAGTTATTGGCGTTTTTGAGATACTTAGAATAGCAAAAATGATCATCAGGACAATTTAAAAGGCAGATATCGTGGGTCAACTCCTTATAGGAGTTATTGCCCGTAAACGACGATTTTTTAAAACTATTTTTTGCATTTTTTGCAAAATCTATATATAGTTAATAAAAAAACTGTAACCATTAAAAATGATCAGTCATTAGTTCGAAAATGTCAGTTGACTCCGTATAGGAGTTATAGCCCCTAGATGACAAGTTTTGCCCTTTTTATGTATTGGGCAAAATTTATAAAATATAAAGAGAAAATATATAAGCAAAACTGATCAACAAGTTAAGATCTTCAAATAGGTTAACAAAGCTCAAATTGTAACTCCTTTTCTTATAGAAAATATTGTCGTCAACCCCCCCCCCCCCCCAAATGAATGCGAAATAAGTAAATAATACTCATGAAGTCTTCTCCATATAACAATACACAGTAAAACGAACAAATTCATTAGATAGTATACGAACTATTAATAAAAAGAAGAAAAGAAAAAGAGGCAAATCATATTTTTCTGTGATGATGCCTTAGGTTTTGATGACGATGATCGTCCGTGCCAGTATCAATAACACTTATGAAGGTACTAGAAATCTGTTTGACCTTTTTATAAAATCTTGAATATGTCTGAAAATTTTTTCAGAAAAACTACATGGATGATCTGCAGCTTACTTTTTTTATATAAAGAGAAAAAAATAATTCTTGTTATCCGGATCAGGCAAATTATCTGGTCAATAGAAGTCGTTCTTGACTTTAAAAAGTCGGATTTAAAATGTTTAAATTTCTTTTCCTTGGTAAGAACAAAGCCAAACTCTTTCAAAGTTTACAGGAATGACGATTGAGAATCCCCTTATAAAGAATCCTCAATTAATACTGATCAGATAGCATACAATAAGATAACGATGTCACTCTAAATCATATGGGAATCATATTTTTCCTCATTATTATTGTTTGACTAATATGAACAAAAATACCAGTTATATTGTATGGACGATCATTCATAAATATATGATTTCTCTATAGTATATGATTAGATAAAAATATGCATATGGCCTTTAAAGGCAATATTATACTTTAAATATTTGTTTTCTTAATTGAAATTTAAGACCAAGTCACTTCAAATATAATGATTGAGAGCTATGAAGAATTCTTATTTCGCACTGATCGGATAGATACTCATTTGTGCCTTTGAAGCTTATGGAAAATACTCAGAAAATCAAAAGAAAGAAGAACGTACGATAAGGCCACTTTTTGGGCCCCACGAATTAGAAAATCAAAAGGTGTTAAAAATCTATCTAAAGCATCCATCAAAAATTCATAAGATATAAGCCTCTCAGATATCAGTGCTATACTATTTTTTTCGGTATGGGTTTTGTTCATTGTTGAAGGCCATACTATGACCTATAGTTGCTTTAATCCGCTTCATTTGGACATTCAGTTATAGCTTTAATTCTCATAGATATTTTTAATAATTGATTTCGTTGAAACGTTTAATCCTCTTGAGGTATGTTGTAAACTAAGATGTGTATCCAAAATAGATTCTGAAAACGCGTCACAACTGTCAATGAATATGTCCATATATAGGATAATGCTTTGGCATCTTATTTGGAATTTTCCAAATTCTGTGATTATAGATTTAGAATATGCTTACAAAATATGAAAATAGGACTATATTCTTGTTTACAGAAAAAAACACATACATTTCATCGTAAGCATGGTAATCGGTACGTACAACCATAAGTACAAGTCATAGGAAATAATCGATTGTCATATACGGTCAGTTGTACGCCTCAATAACATTGGAATATTCCATGTCATAGGTGCAGCAATGTATAAACAGAAATCACACGTGGGTAAACTATAAAACCTCGAAGCGATATTTTTTAAAATTTATGAAATAAATTAAATCGTTTTCAGCTCTATTTATCAATTAGAACAAGCGAGAAAAAAATGTCTTATCAACTATTGTAAGTAAGTCTTCTTTCTTTGCTTATTTGTATTATTTTGTTTTGTTTTGTTATACTTTTAATTTAGTTTTTATTAGCCGAAGTTTGAAGTTGTATACTACAGAATGAAATTAGTCGATTCTTGCATTCGTGCTGGCGTCAACATTTCGGTTTTTGAACTTGATATTTTGATTCATTTATATAACAAACTTATGGCGGATGATGCTGCTTTAGTAAAAAAAAAGCTTTATCAATTTTGAAGAATTACATCAAATATCTAGCTTGAAAGAGGAACACATTTTTTTTTTCAGATTTACCTTGTTGCCCAAATCCAATCCAATATTTTGGAAAAAAAGTTTAAGCAATATCAGCTAAGTCTAGACTGAAATTTATGGATATCGTTTTGCTCAGGATAACAACAATTAAATGATAAATGCAATGTTCACCAAGATTCAAGAGAAAATGGACCAATGGGGAAGAATATTCTCATGACTTTCTATGTAGTTGACAGGGTTGTAGAAGTAATCGGTTTTCAGTTATTGTAAATAGGCTAATTTTAGCGTTTATGCCTGTTACATTAAATCTTAAAAGCCGTATACTTGATAGAAAAAAATGTAAACAGCAAAACTGATCACCAAAACAAAATCTAAACAATATAAATATGACCGAAGCAATCGATTGACTTCTGCGGAGTTATCGCCCTTAAAGTATGATTAGTGAATAATTTAATAGTTTTCTGTTTCATCTTAAAAAATCTTATAGACAGAAAGAACCTGTTAAACGAAAAATAAATATCAGTTATTCATGTAGACCTGAAGTTTTTGAATGTTTTTGTAATTAGCTGTGATTAATAACTGTTTTAGTTTAGTATTGTTATTCAATCTATTACAAACATAAAATATCATGTCATTGCAATTAATTGATTTACACCACTTGCACTCTACATGTAGCATGTGTGGAGATATTAAACGGTGCCATTTTAAGTTAGGGAACACATACTACATGAAGCATGTGTGGAGATATTAAACTGTTCCA